CACAAGTGCCTTCTGATTTTACGTTGTGGGCGTCGAGTAGCCACAACGTCTGCGCACATTGATAAACGTGAAGAAGTACTAGGAAATACGTGTACGCTCATTTAGTCAAATAGAACACGCAATAGGCTAATTTTGTGAGGTTTGAGAGGGTGGAAGCTATGAGCTCTACATTGTTGGCCGTGGGTTTATCTATTTCGGTGACTTGCAGTGTCTTATCCTTCCTACCACTGAGTTTATTGGGGTGATTGTAAGCACGCCTTTCAAACACTTTCTTATCCGCTACAACTTTTATTTGTTTTTAGCTCATATCATTATAGATACGTGTGAATTGGTGAATTTCTTAGCCTCTGTCTGTGTTACAAACTGAAGGCGTTTAGGACAGCAGTGGTCGTGCTGACTCTTCTTCAGTCTGTGACATTTTGTTTGGCATTTTCGCCGCCCTAAGTAAGATGCTTTGAACCTTTCTCAACCCCTCATTATCCGGTATATTGTAGACTATCACACTTAGGTTAGTATCTAGTCTTTTGATAACCTTTGCTGTGATGAAGTTTATCAATGTGTCTACCTTATTTACTGATTCTGTGTCAAATTCGCCAGGGTTTATGGTTCTAGTCAGGATGCTAAGAGGTGCAAGTTCGCAGACATGCGATTTTTTGCCACTAATCTGTGTTGATAGTTCTGATATGCTGGCTTTATTTTCTGAACATCCCGCATTCATACCCTTACTACACCTTATATCCCGCATCTCAGTCTTCAGCTCTTCTACAGACAGCTTTAGTCGTTCTATTTCTGAAGTAATTGCTGGAGCTGGACTTGGTATCTGAAGTTTTGTGACACGTACATAAGGTGAATTGAAGAGGATTTTAGTGGCTGACGGTATCGGCGTTCGCGAATTGTACGGAGTATACTAACGCAAGATCTTATACCAACAACTTCTTTAGTATTCGTTCCTCGTGGACCAAAGGCAAAGCAAAAGACACTACTTAATCGTCCAAACTACGAGGTACAATACGGGACCAAATCGTAGACCGGGATGAATGCTTAGCTGGTTAGTGATCGTGACAGGACGGAGTACCAAATGGCATGGATGCTTGACCGGAAGCCTTCAGCTAAACAAGTCAAATTAAACAGTGAGGGTCAGCATCTAATGCTCAGTGATGATTATTGTGGTCAATAATTTTGGGGAATTATTTACCGCTACAGGTCTCTGTCAGGACCAGGTGCTGAGTTTGTAGAATAGATGCTACTACTATTTGTCAGCATATTTTTGCTGTCAGTTACAGTCACGGTAGATGGTAGTGACACAGTAGCTTGACGCTTGCGGCGTATTGGCAAGTTGTGCGTCTCACTTTCATATTTTGTGGGAGTTGTGTTGCTTGTTGTCGCAAGCATATATGTGCTACCAGTCATCAGGTTAACAGGTTGTGGTGCGACTACGCTGTCTTCTGTATGATATAATAGGTTGTCTATTAAACCTCATCGTCATTAATTGTCCGGTTAGAACGCCTATTTTACGTTCTAGTGCTTCTATGCGTTCGTATGATGATTTGTCGAGTACAGACGTTATTTGTGGAGATATCCGTTCATACATTCTGTCAGCAATTTCTGTTAACTCGTCAATATCTATGTCTTTGTCTCAAAACGCCAATACCTCCTGAATGCTGTGGGGTAACCGCTTTAGCCACAATTGATAGAAAAACCTGGTATTTACTTTCCGATCTCCCAAAATGTTACACATATGGCTTTTGAGTTGGGAAGGTGTTCTATCACCCAGACTAACATTGCTGAGCAGCTGATCAACAGCTCTCTGGTCTGATAATGAAGCAACCTTAATAACCTTCTGCTTTAAAACATAGTACGGAGTTTCTGGATCTGGATTTATGAGCGTTTCCCGTACTTTCTCTGCTACGTCGTCCGGTAAGATGGGACTTGCATAGCCAAATTTTGTAGTCTGAGAAGTGACGTGTTAGCTAGGAAGTAGCGTTCTAGGCAAGTGAACCACAAATACGGATCATCAGGTTTAAAAGGTGGTATGGATATGGTAACTGCAGCCACAGATTTTGTACTTGAAGTGTCGTTATCAGTATTAAATGACATTACAAAAGTGTAGAAAACAATATATACAGGTGATAGCAAAAATACAAAAAGTGAGCACAAACAGAACAGAATATAGGTATGTTCAAAAACGTCGCAAAATGGTCTGCTTACCGAAAGTATTTTTAGCAAAAATGTCAGTAAATATATATATCCAAATGTTATACAGTTCTCAGTTAATACGATAGCAGTGATGATTAAATTCACTATGTCTGTACTTCGAAATGATGTAGTCGACCAGCTATGTTGGATTCACCAATTGTTGTGGTGCTCTATTTGACCAAACTAGCGTACACGTATATCCTAGTACTTCTTCGCGTTTATTATTGTGTCCTAACGCTGTGATTACTCGACATCCACGACGTAAATCAAAAGGCACTTGAGAAGAAGTACAAATGTGTATTATCGCAGTAATCAAAATTCAACAATTGAGCGAGTACTATGTATCAATTGATAACACGCAATCTTTATATTGATAAACAAATCAAAGTCCAATTACATAGTGAAAGTATACTACGATGGTGAATAATAAAATAGGCCACCACAAGGTGACAAAGTTCGCGGCTTTTTATATGACTAACCATAACTAATTAGTGAAAGAGTTATTGGTTACAATTATGGAACTGGAGATATTTTTGTGCGAGTCTCACAGCAAAAATATAATGTAGATATTTGACCACTCACAATGACAAATGATCTGCAAACATTATTGGTCCCATATCTTACAATTCCCTTGTGAATTACGCATTACCTTCCCCCACGACGCAACCTGGATTACAGTTGTGAAGTATACCTTTATACCAATAAAAAAGTATTGATTTATAATACTTCATGATTGTAACTTACAACATAACTGATTGCACCTGCAAAAATAGCTTGCATTTCTTGAAAACACCCGTTTATAAGAAAATACAGACTGTCATTATTATTAGCCTACCTTGAGTACAATTCACTTGTGATGTTACTACGAAAATGCTGACAAAACTATACAAGTGTATCACTTATTTTAAATTATTATCAAATATGGATATAAATCAAGAATAAGACTCGATGCCGTACACACCAAAGTTATATAGGGGAATGACTTCAAGCCTTATTTTTTTCCCAAGTATTTTTAATCCATCCAAAACATACTTGGGTTTTTTTGTTAATGCGAAGACAATATTTCTATATTTCTTGATGTGCTCCATTGAATGACTAGTTATCATATTGTTCCCATAGACAAAATGACTGCAACCACATTATTTAACCATGAACCAAATTCATGTAATTTAAATAATACTTATCCATGCCTGTACAATTGGTGTGTCCTACACAGGTAGGAAAAAATGTATTTTATTAAATTACTATTATTAAACATGCTTACTAATCGTATATGTAGTTTATCATATTGATGGTGCCTGTAAACTGGCGTCCTTCATGTACAAAAATGAGAGTATTATTATTATAGCGGCAACGTTGAACGTACCGGTTACTTGTGCGCTACCAATACGCAGTTTCGTCGGAGAGTATTTTTCTGACAGCTCATTGTGTAACCTGAAGGTATCGGTTTCGATCAAATGTACGCAGAGGGTCTCAAACAAGGATGAAACAGCTGTGCAGTATTCCCTGGTTGTAAATGGTTCTCTAACTGAAATCATTTCGTGATCAACCTTGTAATCAGTTAAATTCCAGCAAACCAACATGTGACAGTAAAAATACTCCATGTGAAACAAGGAATGAATACTTCATGTATGAATAAGACAGCCCTTTCATCTGCAGAACACTTTGATAAATTGAAGGGAAGGAAATGATTCAATCCAATATTACTAGATTACATTTAGTGCACAACTTATTTGCAACAGTTATGTTGGAAGAATTACACATTTTATTAAAATCAGTTCTTTTCGGCTTCTAGTAGTCTTACCTCTTTCTTTTCAATGTCAGAATTTTCTGTAAATTTGCAGTGGGATGTTGGATTATTCCCGTTACATGTATTTTTGATGCTGATGAGATAACCAACGATTCGGGGAGAACAGGTTGTTTACTGAATCTTTGTTTATCGATAACGAGAATCAAATAGTTGTAACCAGAATAATATAACGCTTTTATATTTATTTCCCTGACTTTCAATATAGAACTTTGCACAAAAATGCACGACTTCAAGTTGCCACATTCTATGTAGCACACAATGGCGGATAAAAAATTCAAAAGAACTATACCTGGCAGAAATATGAAGAAGGAATAGTAACATGGAGATACGTGAGATTTCAGTGGATACGGGCGACCAGAGATTGAATGCATCTGCAACACTGAAAACGATTTCCAGCTATATTACCAATAGTCTTTAGCCATCAGTCCTTATAATTCCGATGATCCTCACCATGAAGCCTGCACCTCCTTACGTAGCTGGTTCAAACCAACCGTCACAGATCTCGTGGGGTGATACCAGATTTTGGTTTGACTACAGTTAACTCTTTCCCAAACTAATCCTATTTCGGCTACGTTGCTAGTCGAGGATGGCTCATAATGCGCAATACGTGTCATAACGTATCAATCGATACAGCCTCACAACCCCATCGATCGACATTCCCTCTTTACCTAAAACTCTATGCCTAAATTCAATATTATTCATCTTACTGTATCACTCATTACGGGACGCAGACACATCCATGATCAAAGACAACTAGCTTTTTAACATCCTGCACTTTCAATAGCCATGTCTAACAGCCATAAAAGAGGACAGAGAGAAATGCTGCACAGTACACATGTCTTGTGATGGATGCTGGATATCATGCCAGAGATAACGTTATTCGGGAACTGTAACACAAGCCTTTAGTATCCGTATTGGGATTTCATCAGCAAACAACCCATCAGGGCTGATGCAATTTTCCAAATAAGTGAAAAGGAGAGCATACACACACTCTATATCTTTAAACTAGGAGTCCGTATAGTCCAATCCTACAGCATCATCTTACATTTAGCAGGAGCGAATCGCACGCGGAAGGTTTCTGCCCATCTGCATACTCTAAATTGTGAGACTATTCTGCTGACAACAATTCAATCCTTAAGTCACTAATGTCAGTTAGGGTCAACTCCGTTGAATGGATTAAGAACAACAATGAATTTTAAAAGAACACCACAGCTGTTATCACAATAGCCAATAATGAAAAGGAATTAAAGAGTATTACACAAAATAGCAGGAACAAAGAGAGCTTGAACGACGACAACAACAGCAACATGGAATAAGGCCAAGAATTCACGCAGAAGTAAATAATGCTGGTGACTGAGGGAATAATTAAAAAAAAGTCATTTTTTAGTTAAATAAATTATTCAAGTGAGTGAAAATTAAAAAAAACAACAACATACAATGCAGATTGTCGTCACGCCACCAACAACAACAAAAAAGGTAATAATAATAATACTTGTATAATCACCTTAAGATAAAAGAAATATATTTCAAGTGATCGGACAAGTTATGATGTCCCTATTCAAGCTGATCTATCTACACGTCACATACACAGTGGAGAAAGAACAAAAATGGAGTGGCCTAGAGTAAAATCGAAATTGATAAAACATGCAGAAATACACAAGAAGAGTGATGGTGAAATAAGAAGAGGAGAGAAGACAAAGAGGAATTAGGCGTTACATAATACAACAAAACGTAAAAAGATGCAGAAAATAATGAACACAAAGAAAGGTTAGAAAACCCAAGTTAGGTTGATAGTAATAATAATAATGATAACGATAACAATATTTTGTAAAATGATCTTCTTAAAGGTCTATATATATAATTAAATGCTAACCAAATAATAATAATTATGAAAAGATATTCAAATTCACAGTACAAACAAACAAATGCAATGATGTTTGTACACATGTATATAATATGCTTAGATGATTTATATATTATACACTATATCACCTGAAAAATAAATCTCTGGAAACGCACACGCACACGACACTCAAAAGAGAAGACAAAAACAAATGCATTAAAAGTAAACGAACAACAAAGAACCATATGATCACAGATAAGTGTTTTTGTTTGAGAAGATAAATTACAATAGTTTATATATATATTACATAGCAACAGATATTTGAATCACCAGCCATAGTGAACACATATACAAGTTTAGCGTCCATGAGAGTAAATGCAATTTAAACTGAGCAGTACGTATATATATATATATATATATATATATATATATATATATATATAGAAAAAAAGGGTCTGAAAAAGTTAACAATTGCATAGGATAATTGCATAATTCATAATTGTTTCATAGATACATAGGAAATAAGATATTCTGGTAAAGGTAAACGATTTGCTTTAATTCTCAATGAGTCAGTATAACCAAGCGCTCTTTGTATTGCTATCCGACAGATATGCTTTAAAGAATGTACATTACATTCTTCCCAATGTAACCATTGAGCTAATTCATCATCACCATGAATACATTCTTCCGGTATAATTCCATGCACTAATAACCATCGGGTGAAACTAGCTAAATTCACTGGATCACATCCATAATTTAATAATAATTTAACCATTGGTATATCTAATTTAGGAAATTTTACTGCCATATGTAATGGTCCAAGACCTTCATGATCAACACGATTAACTGATGCACCAGCGTCTAGTAATTTACGAGCTAAAGCTAAGTGACCGTGCAGCACTGCCACATACAATGGCGTTTTACCATTTTTATCAGCTGCATTCACATTGGCACCAGCTGTTAAGAGAAGATCAACAATTTCTGATCGTCCATGATATGTTGCTACATATAAAGGTGTTTTCCTATGTGAATCCATTTGATCAACCTTAACGGAAAAGAAAAAAATTCAATTAAGACTGAAACTTTCAAATTTAATGTGGAAAAAAAATGCATACATTGACTGACAAAAACCAATTGGAAAGCAGGCTTACCTGTGTTCAATGATCATTTTTCAAAGTAATCCGATAATGTTTATACATTAAAACGAAAAAATGTTTCGCAGAGAAATTAGAGGGAGAATTTATGATTCTCGAAAAGATGTTGAAAAACAACACACACACATATTCATTAACAAATATGGAAGGTGTGAAGGCTTAAACAAGCACCAAACACATCACATCACAGTGGGAAAACAGCTTGTCTTCATTCAATTCGATTTTAACGGTGGTACTATTGTAGCAATAGTCAACAGAAGATTGAGTACGTCACTAGCCAGAGCGCCCATCCTGAAGCTAAGTTGGCTCCTGTTTATCGGACAACATGCTCCTTGTTGCAGTCAAAAGTTGACAGGTACCCTTCTCATATTAACCACAACTGTGTATACAAATTTACGTGTCTGCGGGAGCAGTTACATTTAACGAAAACAGAAAGAAGGGCACACCTCCGATTTTTTGAAAATGTAACGAAAAGCTTACGTCTCAAGGGAACAAACGCTTACACATCCATATGATTGTGAGTAACATTTTGTGCTCGAAACGTCATCAGTTAATATTACTGTACAACACTGTGATTTATCAAAATAAAATCTTATCTATAATGGAGTTATACCCTACCACAGTGCCCAAGTTTTATACTTATATCAAGATGTAAATATTATATTGCAATGCAACTGAGTGACCAGGCGAAATGCTTTACACCAGTCAGTGAGTTGTGTCAACTAGTCGAAGGTAGAAATACACAGCTGACTTACCTAAATCACAACAGGTGAGATATAACTTAGACCCGTAAAAAAACACCACAGCTACCGAAGTTCAAAAGTTCATGCCTGAAGCCTTATGTTCCACTCAAAACGCAAAATAATGGAAGAAAAAGAAACCAAAACGCAACAGTTCAGCTTAAGCACTACTACATACTTGAAAAGCATAAAGATATACACAATAAGTTAGAATACATATGTTTCTGCTTACCTGAGCCCCATGACGTAGAAGTGCATTAGCGATCTCTAGGTAACCAAAATAAGCACTAATATACAATGGTGATTTATTCTCTTTATTTGTTATATGCACATCAGCTGAATGGCATAACAGGTAATTCACAACTTCACTATGTCCACGACAAGCAGCTAAATAAATCAATGTTCGACCATATTTATCCTGAAAACGAATGGAAGGAAAGATAAAAACTGGCTATATAATAATAATTATTATTATTAATTATTTTTTATATATAAACATACTATTTTATTTATTTATTTATTATACATGTTGATGACTGTTGCATGACTCATGATTGGACAAAATTTAAAAAACATGAGTTGTTCCTTTTATATATAAACCTGTTTATTTTAATTCGATTAATTTCCCTGAAGAAGTTCGGACCAGATTGCCGAACGAAACGTTGGAATTAATCATTTCAATTTCGCTGAGATTTTACAAATATAATTTTATAAATGTCTACTTCTCACTCAGCGCTCAATTATTTTGCAACTATCCGGTCAAATCTTGATAATAGTTCATATGAATTATTAATTATTATTGCTTCCTTTAATTCCTAGAGGAACATAGGGCTTCAGCCGCGCGTCTCCATTGCGTTCGGTTCTCTGCTAGAGTTTTCACTTGGCTCCAAGTCTGCCCACATGCTTTCATCTCCTCTTCACACGACCTCCTACTTCATGTCATCCTCGCACTGACGACCAACTCGCCGCTTCCAATTCGGTCGGGTTCCACTCGAGCAATGGCTTGTCTAGTGATGTCACTTGATGGTTTCCTCAGAGTATGGCTAATCCATCTCCATTTCTTCCTGCCTATTTGTTTCACAATCGGTTCCTGGTTGGTTCGCTCCCAGAGATCCCTGTTGCTGATCTTTTCTGGCCGGCCATCTGATCTTGAGTATTGAGCAAAGACAACTGTTAATGAAGGTCTGTAGTTTGTTTGAGATGCTCTTTATGACGCTCAGTGCAAGTCTCTGATCCGTATAGTAGCACTGACTGACTTAACATTGGAGTTGAAAATCCGGATCTTATTTTTGATGCTGAGTGCTGCTGACCTCCACACAGACTTGAGAGCAGTGAAAGCTTATCTTGCTTTTCCGATTCTTGCTTTGACATCCTCGTCAGTTCCGCCTGTAGTTAAAACGATGCTTCCTAGGTAGGTAAAGGAGGTTGTTTCTTTCAGGTTCCTTCCATTTGTGCTGATTGTTGTCTGTTGTTGTTGTTACTATTGGTGTTGTTTCCCAGGAATCTTCATCACCTCTGTTTTCTCTATGTTCATCTGAAGGCCTATCTTTGATGCTTCTTCTGCCAACTTGTTGCTTTTCACTTGCATATCTTCCAGTTTGTGGGAAATCAGACATATATCATCGGCGAAGTCCAGATCCTCCAAGTTTTTTGTGTGAGTCCATTTTATGCCTGTTTCCTCATTGCCCACTGTGGCGCAGATATATCCACTCCTCGTGACTTATGATTTCCAATGAAACTGTTTTGTTCTTCGTTATTACTATTCCTTTGTCTCACACCTCTGTTTACTGTCTATACTATGCATTTCTCCTACTTTCTTCTCTTGCTTTGTGTGCTACATGGAGTGTGGCGACTTGAACTGCCGCACATATGTGCAAAGTTCTATGTCGAAAACCGACCGACCGACCGCATTATCCAATCTACTGCAATCAGGAAAATCATTGGCGATAGTAGACAGCCTTGTCTTACTCCTGTCCTCACTTCAAAGGATTCCGTAAGTTTCCCGTTGTGGATTACTTGGCATGCAGCATTGTCGTACATCTGTTGGATGAGATGTATAATTGTGGGTGGCACCCCGTAGTAGCGAAGTAGTTGCCAAAGCACCTCTCGATCAACCCTGTCAAAGGTCTTTTCAAAGTTGATGAAGTTGAGATAGAGAGGTGACTGCCATTACAAGCTTTGTTCAATGACGATCCGTAATGTGGCTATCTGATCAATACATGACTTGTTTCTCCTGAATCCAGCCTGTTCCGGTCGAAGTTTTTCATCCAGGGCTTGTTTGATTCTCTCCAGGATGACGCGGCTTAGTATTTGCTTGGGATGGACAGGAGCATAATACCGCGCCAGTTCTTGCATTGACTTAAGTCTCCTTTCTTTGGTAGTTTGAATAAGTATCCTTTCTTCCAATCCTCGGGTACCTTGCTTTCTTTCCACACCTTCTCCAGTATTGGCGTCATCAAGTCCGCTGCTGTCTGTGGCTCCATTTTCAATGCTTCTGCTGGGATTCCATCTGGTCCTTCTGCTTTTCCAGCTTTTAGCATCTTGATTGCCTTAAGGACTTCTGATTTCGTCGGGTATATAATATATATATATATATATCTTAAGGAATATGGATTTCGTAACGTTTCTGACTGCAGCACTGGATGATCCAGGTTCTAATCTCAGAAAGGACGAGAGTTCCTTTAAGAAAGCAGATACGCCCTGTTGACTTGTGAGTGCCAGCAAGCACGAAACCTAGAGTATAAGGCTTCCTGCCGATTGCCTGCAACAATCTAATACCAATGATTCACACTGCACAGTGAGTGAAGGCCAATTAGCTTCATGGTGGCCACATTACAAACTTGACTGATAGAATTCAGTTTGCAGTAAACAAAAGGACTAGACATTTACTCTTTGACTGGACACTAAGCAGTAACTAATTTTAAAACTTTCGTTAAAGTTGCTGAGACACCTCGATGATGAATGCCAGCAAACACAATACCCAGGCAAGAGAGAATTTCCGAAGCATTCCTGACATGCGCCTGAGACGCAAAAACCTAAAGGCTCTTTATAAAGTTATTTTATTCTGCTTAGCATCCATAAATACAATATCAAGCTCAGGACCGCTAGGTTACAAGGCAAGTATATTACTATTTAAGTTTTTTAAAGTAACTATTACCAGCCATACTAAGTGATTCCTTTTGTCACGATTCCATTAGATGTCAGTCAATGGCACTAGTAAGGGACTAGGGATCGCTGAGTTTCAGGCTATTTGACATATCTTAGGAGAAGTGAATGGAGAATGCCCACCTTCCTGTACTTGCGCTAAAGCACACGCATGTGAATTTGCAGGCACAGTGCAAGGCGACTTCATGTATGGGTACCTACTCACTTTCGACTGATAAACACAGCACAGTTAGGGCGAATTAATTATTGACAATTTTGATGAATCGACTTTTTCAAGCCTTTTTATCGACATTTCAACTTCTAGTAGTACAACGAAACAGGATTAATAAATTCACCAGCAATGTATGATAAATTGTTATGTATCATCAATTTTCAGTAATCTATAGCCTAGTTTACTAGCCAGTCCTAAGCCCAGAGAGGATCGTTGAATGAAATCGCGCACCAGGCTATCTCTCAAGTGGAACCTGAGTGGGAAACAGAGAGATGGGCGTCCGAAGGTGACTTCGAAGAGATCGTGTGAGGAGATAAGAGCTGATCGGCAATTGTGAGGCCGGCTAAAGAGAAACTGCAGAGAATAGGATGAGATAGAGATGTACTACTGAGGTCCTGTTCCACTGATAACCCAACGGAATAAGAATAATAACAATAATCAGTTTTCAGTATTTATCCTTGAATTTACCATTAAGTGTACTGAATAGTTAAATTATTAATTTTCATGTGTAAACATAGTTTTATAATTTAAAATAATACCAGGTAACTACTACTAACCTGAACATTTAATAATTCAGGATTGGAAAGACGACTCGGAGGTGGTGGTTGCAATGGCAGTGGAGATGATGATATAGTTGTCAAATGAACATTATTATTATTATTACTGTTAGGACATGCTAGACCAGGTGAATTAGACGATATAGCCGATGATAACCGAGCATTTGATCCAGTGAGTGTATTGTTAGTAGTTTTAGAAGTTGATGTTGTTGTTGTTGTATTACAACACATTGGTTGAACACGTTCCATTAAATAACGTACCATAATCAATGAACCAACATAACAAGCATGATGTAATGCAGTCATACCAACTTTATCAGTTAATGATAGACTAGAACCAGCATTCACTAATGCTACAGCCATATTCAATCCACTTGAACCAGCCTCAGCTGCAATCATTAACGGTGTCATGCCTAGAAGAGAAAAGTATATGTATGTAGAGTAGAAGTGAAGTGCATTTAATGCTAATTAATACGCTAAATGGTATGTATACTAAATAATACAAGTAAGCATCATTTCTTTAATGAAAACTAATGATACTAATCACCCATCAGAACTACCATATAAGAAGCAGAGTTCAAACCTACTAACATATTAAGTTCGTAGAACAGGCAGCTAAAGTTTATTTTATATAAGTGATATTATTTAAAATAATCCCAGTCAATTGGTAGGTGGTGACTAGCAGTGGAATCCTCGATGCGCATTTCGTTCTATTTGGGACTCGCCAGCTGGGTGTACCTGCATTCTCAGTGGGCGATGGTGTTCCCACCGAGGCTCTAACCCAGTGCCTATGGTTTCAAACGCCAAAGCGTTATCCACTAGACCACTTGGGCCACGAGAGCCACCTCTTGTGCAACGGGTCATATTGATTTAATGGAATTTAAGATTTTTCCCGTCGATTGATTGAACCGAAGTGCTCGGTCTCAGGTTGACATGCCGGTTCCTTGTGCAGATGCTTCAACGATGTCTGGTTATGTAACTTGAAGTCAATTGGTTCAATTCAGTCCAATCAATCGACGGGAAAATTTAAATTGAATTTAGAAAATCAAAACAAGATTTTTCTGAACATTTCGATGTGTAAGCCACAGCTTCTTTAGCAGTTCACGATATACATTGGAAACTGACGCATCTAAATAAACATTTGAATTTCCTAACTGATCCATCCAATAAGCATGAGAGTTTCAGTAGCTTTGAAATCTCCTACACAGAACTAGGAAATTTGTGACCGACTGACAATGATTATATGAAGATCTCAAAGGTTAAGACAAGTATTGATTGAAAATAGTTATTCGAAAAAGTTACCAAACTATACCTTCAATAAAAATGACAGGAAAGAAAAGAAGATGAGAAAATCCAGGGTGTTAACGATAACCACTCCATATAGTAAAAGAAATGCAGCTGAACACCTTCAAAGGGTACTTCATTCATATACTGTTAAAGTTTAATTTTAGCCCTTTAATTCTTTACAGGAAGTTTTGGATAATATCAAAGATATATTTCTTCAAATGACACAGATTAATTGCGTCTGAGGGACAAACTGGAAGCTGTGGCTTATACACAGCAAAATATTCAGAGAAATCTGTTCTAATTTTCTAAACACTGTGTGATTATTTTGAATAATTTTATAATGATTCAATATGACTCGGCGCTCCAATTATTCCAGGAAATTCACAACATCTACAGTCTCGGGGTATTTACCATTTTTATAGGAGATATTGTTAGTAAAGTAATGTATATAAGAGAAGATAAAATTTCAGGCTTTCGTTTTGTTAAACAAAGCTAAATTTATTTCTTTTGCTTCAGATGTGGTACATTCAGCATCTGTTGGCATGTCGATAATGTATCAGGTTTGTGGTTTAATAAATCAATTCACTTGGCAGATATGATGAAAATGAACAGCAAAAAGCGATAATTAAAATCAAAGTAACTATTGCATAAGCAAGCCATTGGAAACAAAGCAGAAGTTTGTTGTTGTTGCTGTTGCTGCTGCTAGGGAACTGTCTGTTTCACCTTACAGCTGTCTGGTTACTTTTGTTGAATGTACACAGCACCATTAACTGAGAAATCTAAAATATGACTTCATTGATTACTTCTGTCAGGCATGAATGAATAATAATATAAACCACGTATGTACGAGTCACGCATGATATTACGTCTTATGGTACTACACGATTTTTCTAGCTGACGTAGATAAGTCAGAATTTGAATTCACAACCCACTCTGACTGGACGTCAAGAGCCCAGGATGACGACGAGTAACATTTTCACTGTGTCCAAGGGTTAACAGCATAAAATAAATGACATTTTTTGTGATGATGATTATGTTATAATTCCAAGATATATATATATATATATATATAGTATAGGTAAATGTACAGGTAGATGTGGTATTAAGCAGCAGCACAGTGTAAGCAGTGGAGTAGGCAACTGAAATTTTTAGCTATAGTAGGTTGTAGGTTCGAAACATTTTTCATTTACCAGGATAATTCTTATTTCATTACTAAAAGGTGTATATCACAATTCACTAAACATATATCACCCCATGGGGGAACTGCGGTTCATTATGTCACAGTATTATTAAGTAAGATTATTAAAGTAGAAACTTTTTACATTATGGGTACCAAGAAGTGCGCCACACAAAATCTCATAATTTGTACGAAGGCTGTGATGCTGCCCGGACACCCAGACCAGTGCAGGTGACTGTTTTAAGAGACCAGCCTCTACCCCGAAGCTCTTAGCTCGATCTCCAAGGTAGTGGAGGAGCGCCCCTACAGTTAACGGTAACTGGAACAGGTTCATACACAGTTCAATTCTTCGAGATTCTGTAGCCCATGCATACTACATGTTTGGAATCAGAGTTTTCCAACTCCTCTAGGTGGACTTTTATGTCCACCAGTTGGATTGTGAGCGTCAGACGTTCGCATCTGCCTTCTCACTTTTGTGAGGGACACTGGTGCCGCGTGAAGGCAGTTAATACGACTTGTCTGGTGACAGAAGCTTAGAATGCGTGGCTGTATGAGAGCATGTTGAGAGGAAGACCGAAGTTTATCCACCCTCGGCCGTATCATGTCGTTCATGAGTATAAAGTTCAAAGTTAAGTGAACTAACCTGTATGTCAACTGAGTTGCACGACAAAAATATAGATCGTTACCGAACAGTTAGTTTCAGTTAATGTATATTCACAAAAATAATCAAGGCAATTGACGAAACAAAAATAGGGATAATAAAGATATGAAATCAAAACAAGAAATAACTAGAAATGTCTACAAGTAAAAGAATAATTCAAAAGTCCACCAGAAACTACAACAGACAAAATCACGTTGTATTAACGACAAAGCCAAAATTAAATAAAAGGGCGTGTTTACCGATCTTATCTGGTCGATCAACATCTAAACGTGGTCGAAGTGTTCCAGAATTCGACTGTAAACAGTTAGTATGATTGAATGGGATTTGATTTGCTTGTAATGACTGATTATTAGTAGCATTATTCGACAATGCTGTCGTTTTGCCAAGTATACGTTGTACTCGATCGCAGCTTTGCCACCAACGAGCAACATCTATGAGTAAAACCAATAAGTAAATAAATGAAGCTTTTATCAAAATTAGAGCAAAAGTAATGAAAATAAATATGAGATTTTGATGTGGCTTTGTTCTCTGAGCAGCACAGTAGTTTGATTGAGAAGCTTTCATTGTCCATCTCAGCAAAATCCTTAGCTCAAACTTCAATATGAAGTGGACTTGCTAGATGGTTGAAGGCATTTGGCAGGAAGCCTTTGACCTAGATTTCACGCTTATTGCCGCTTACAAGTCAGCAAGGAGTGTCTGCAGTCCTGAAGGAACTCATCTCCCTCCTGAGATTCGAACAAGGGACACAAAGTCATGGTCGTTACATTTGAGTTATTCAGGTTCGCGATTGACCTCCTGTAGGACTGTAATGGAATATTAGCGAGGACTTGTAAAGACAGCGATGTGATTGATGGGTTAACTGACAACAGCGAATTCCTGGCATTTCAAAAAACTCAGTGCACTGTGATGGTAAACCACCTAGCATGGCAACCGCATTGCAAATTTGAGTAATAGAATTCAGTCTGCACCAAACGGTGCACTAGATACATGAAATCATTTACTACCTAATGTCCAATGAAAGTACTACGTGAACTTATTTGAATTCTTCACAAATGTTATAACTGTCTCTCCTGACAACCACGTGTACATTTTGACAAGATTTAAGATTAATAGGGTAACAAACAAGAGAACTACTACTGATTCGCGTGTTTAATGGCGCTAGTCGATATATTGAGCAGTTCTTCAAGATGCTTTTACTTCAACAGAAATATTATTTAAAAATTATGAGATAGACTATGTTGAAGACAATTTTCCTGTCCTCTGCTTCTCATGAAATGATCTCCTTTATATATGTGACATGATCAACCCAGATAACACTGACGATAGATGCCCCGTTAGCATATTCAGAGAAGTGCTGAGCATGAATCAGACTACCGTATATCAAATAGTAGTGCTTAAACCCCTATTTATATGAAGACACCTACAGTAGGAAACACCTGTAATCTTTTCATCACGTACATTTATGCATTATACTTATCTAGGATGATTCAGTCCATGATAGCGATTAAAAGAAAAAAGAAAAGTTGAATAGAATCTTAAAACTGTGATAATACAACTTTAGACAAAAAAGACGCTTACCACTTGGATTTCCCACACTATGACATCGTTGACAATTTTCTGGTTTACGGATAACATGAGATAGATTAGAACTACCACTATAGCTTGATTTGACGATAGGATCAATAACAACTGGTTCAGGATGTAAAAATGTATGATTTTTTCCACTTAGTCTTGAAATACATGAACGCAGATTAATTCCATTCGAGTCCGATTCAAGCTCAGTATCTTGATCATCTAAAACTTTATTGTGTTTAGAGCGTAGAAGTTGTGAAGTTAAAATATGTCGACTAACAATTGATTTTGGATTATTTGTACTAAATACTGAGTGTGTATTAACTGAAGCTGCAGATGATGCACGTGGTGGTACTGCACAATCATTTGATGAAATTGCACCTCGAAGTATTGTACTTGTAGCAGAGGCTAAGGTGAATCGCGAAGCAGCTGAATTCGATGATTTAGAAGATGGTGTACGCAAGGCGGTTGCATTATTACCTACACGACAATGTCCATCACCGCCACCACCAGACTGATTATCAATTACAGTTGTACTTATAATATTGCTAGCATTTTTACGATGTTGCTCACGAAATTGTTGATCTGCACGGATAAGGGCAATTAAAATTAGTTCTCTACGATCTTTTACAGCAGTTAGAAGAGGTGTATCTAAATCACGACTACAGATGTTTACGTCAGTGGTTTCATGCTTTAAAAAAATCGGGGGGAAAAATGTAAAGTTATTGTTATAAATGTATCTAGTGACTGGGTAAGTAGTTATAACACTAAAACAACTCCACTGTATTTATTTATGAAAACAAACTTAGCACTTTATGGGCACCTACAGATGCGAAGGCTGCGATAGTGCTCGGACATTTAGGTTGAAGCAGATGGTTGTCTTAAGGAGCTGGTTATCCCCCGCCGAGTTTCTGATATGATGCCTGGTCCACGATGCAGTCGAGCCACGCTTCCATGGCTGCCGTTCGATTTTTTCAGATTCTGGAGCCCGTGCACAGGTTTGGTATCAGGGTTTTGCGAACCTCTAGGTAGGCTTATATGTCCACCAAGGGTTGTAAGCGTCAGAGGTTCGAATTCACCCTTCCACTATTGTGAGGACCATCCCCACTGTGTGAAGGTAATGAAGGACTTATCTGGTGACAGAGGCTTCGAACGTGTAGCCGCATGAAAGCATTTTGAGGGGGAGACCGAAGTCTATACACCCACTGCCGTACCAAGTCGTGAAAAAAACGTAACTGGGGTAGAATTGTGTTCTACATAGCAACTTGAGTAACTTAAAATAGGATATTCGGAGGTAAGAGAGACAAAAACTAATTTCAGTGACTGATATATCTCAAATCAACATAGAAACTAGTCCATTTAAGAATTCAAGTGTGCCAGACCTTAAAGGATAGTAAAAATCTATTGCGATATTAATAATACACCCAATAAGCACAGAAATAGGTATAAAAGTTAAATTGAACCTTTCCTTTTATATTACTTTCAATATGCAGAATATTTGTTTAGAATTCGCACTGGTAGAACAGTGTAAGAAGTGATAGGAAGTTTCACTTACTTCACAATGTCATGCAATGCCTGGGAGGTCAATTCACCAAAAGCACATATGAAATTAAGAATACTTAGATTTTAATAGTTGACCAAAGATGGCTATAAACGAGAATTGATCAGAACTCTTTATTCCGGGCTCAGAGAATATACTTTACAAACAAATTAGATTTTTTGTTTTTCAAAAAGATGTTGGAAAAGTAGGGAAGATGTGAAGGTTTCAGTACCAAACAAACCACAGTGGAAAAGAAGCCTATTTCCATACAACTCAATTTCAAAGGTGATAATATTGCAGGAATAGTCAACAGAATATTGAATACCTCACTAGCCAAAACATATCCTACAGCTAAGTTGATTCCTGTGTATCGGACGACGTGCTGTTTGGTGCAATCAAAAGTAGACAGATACCTTTCTTACGTTAGCTATAACTGTGTGTATGCAAATTTACATTTACCTGCCGTAGCAATTATATTGGGATAACAGAAAGAAAGGCATACCTTCGGTTTTCTGAACATGTACCAAAGGGCTTATTTCTTGAGGGAAAAAACGCTTTCAAAAGTGCCATCGCCAGGCATCTCGTCTATACGGATCGTGAGGTGGACACCATGAAATCCCGTAAAATTATCGATAGACAATAGAGTTCACTTTTCTTTAAGTTCATCGAAGCAATGGCTATCAAAAGCCTGGAACCCAATTTGTGTTCAGAAAGAAACAGTTATCGGTCTTTTCTTGTTCTGGTAACTCGATGTCTCAACTCTCTATTTTATCTAACTACGAAATCTTTGGTTTCAACTTCTTCTCCTTAACTACAACGTAATTCTGCTTATCTTTTGATTCTGTGATTTCAGTTGAACTCACCACATTGTTATTCAACTTCTTAGTTACTTATCATCTTATCCGCCTCTTGTCTTTATTACGCATCTCCTTTATCATTGTATCCAAATACTTATTTTTGTCTTGTTTGGGCTTGAACCGCCTGTGTACAAGTTATGTTTAATTTCCGAACCTTGCCAATTCATCTTAGAGTCTTCTGTTAATCGACATAATGTCATATTTGCAAGTACGTTAAAGTTGCTCTGCAAACTTAATTTTTCAGGCTGTATGCAGTTGACAGAATAAACGGCGGTATCATGTTATTCTGTACAAATCCTTGGTTTTGCTTTATTCAGAAGCTGACTTTGACATTCCACAACAATTGAGACCCGCAGTCCTTCCTTAAGACTAATAGGATATCATTTCAGCTAACTATAAAATATGGACGTCATTTAAGTAACATGAGATTGGGAAGTGTGTTTAATAAGATAAGTGGGGGCAGGGGAATAAGTAATAAAGCAAAGATGCTTATCCAATTGCATCTCTCATTTACTACAACCGAAATTCCGTACATTTTATCCTAGAAAATCAGTCATGAATATCATTAGGTTGGACACAGAAGCCATTTCATTTGTGTACATCAATCAGTCCACACAGTCATATGGAACCACACATAAAAATATTTCGATGTGTTCTGTTTCACAACTTAGAAAACACCATCAACCCTAGTTGTAAAGAAGTCCCTTAAGTTCCTTCTTCAGAAGTGCAACAGTTAGGGACTTCATCAACACTCACAGTCGACTATACAGTGAGAAGAAATTCACTCCAAGCACTATAAGTTGCTATGAAGAATAGAAATTGAAATCAACGATCTACTGAATGAACTTCAAAAAACTAACCAAATAGCTCCTTATTCAAAATTCATTTGGGAAGTCTTTGAGTTTGCTATTTGTTATGGTTGTTATGTTTTTTGAATTTCTCAGGCTGTAGCAATTTATGTTATACTTATAAAAAAACAAAGTTAAGTATGTAACGTAGGAGAGGTTTAGGGATGGGTCAGTCTGGGATCGAAATCCGGACTAAGTGTGTGGCTGGCGACCATTCTATCACCGAACCAATGACGCACCTCAGCGACCACCTTATGCTTAGTTGTGTTTCAATACCCCCAGCCGATCACCAGTTATTTTAACACATTCCAGTGTAAGAAACAATTGTGTATGACAGGTTCTTACATATTTATTCAATCAATCAATCACTTACTGCAACTAAGACTTCAACGATTTCGACTGATGCTCGATGCAGTGGAGCCAGGCCATCATCATCTAATGTATTGGGATTGGCATGATATTTTAGGAGAATTTTAGCTGTATCAACGTACCGCTGAGCAGTTTGATGGGCTAGTAAATGTAGGCAAGACTGTCGACGTTCAGTGAGCGCAGATACAGAAGCACCGGACCGAATAAGAAGTTCAGCGATATCTGCACGACCAAATAAACTTGCCTGAAGCAAAAAGAACAGCATGGTATTTTTTAAAGAAAAATTTATCAAGGTGAACAATATATCATTTAAATACATCCAACTATGGTATGTATGTTTTATCCAACTGACAAAAAAGTTGTGAACTACAACTGGAAATGTGAATCATCAATCATGTATGTGCATTCACTTACTGCTGATTATTCTATATTTTATAGAACACATTGTGTAATACAATATCGGTAAATGTTACTGATGACTATTAATACTATATCTGACTGATTTTCAACATAGAACTTAGAAGAGAAGTGCACCAGTTCAAGTTGCCACATTACATGCAGCACACAAAGGTAGGGAAAAGAGAAAAAAGGAGTTCGAAAGAATCACAATGAGCAGCAAGGATAGTAACATGGAAAAGTATGAGAGTTTAATGGATATGAAACACACCATAAAGAGTGAATACATCTTCGCCATTGGGAACGATTTTGAGCCATGTCTCCAGCCATTGGTTCTTGGCATCCCGATGACTCCAACTAGGCAGACTATAATACATCAGTGATATATATATATATATATATATATATATATATATCACAATAAGTTCGTTAAATATAATTATATTATATTTGATCTATTTCACAATGCTTAAATTTCTTACTGACATTGAATCGCTAAATATGCTTCAGTAATAATCGGCATTAATCGGTTTACAAACTTTACATAGCCCTTAATTAACGAGACTGTTAATTATGTTCTGTTTTTATGGTCAACCAAAAAGCAAGAACACAACAAACTGACTATCAAATGGTCTGAGAAGGGACAAATGTTATCCAGTCTTCTAGAGATGTCATGCTGATGAATACTGATAACCGACAAATTAAGTTAAGGCTTTTTTACCGAGTGACTACTAACAATTAACACAACCAATAAAAATCACAAGGCAAATAAACTAAGCAGAGAGTACTGTAAATTATTCCTGCAATTTAATGATAATTGACAGACAGGATTGCATAGCAATTATGCACAGCATGATACGCTACTGACATATATATATATATAAGCTTATCCTCGAAACATTTTTTATGTACCAGGTTAAGAACCAAACTTGTCGTGTAAGGGCCGGTGATACTACCCAGTAGCAAAGACTGAAGCAGATGGAGTGGGACAAGAACTCGTGACCCATAGGCTGAAAACTGAGTGTTTAAGCCAATGAGCCACATTTTCAGGGTGTATATATATAGCCAAACAAACCTAAATTTTTAAAATCACCATTTTAAAAGAATAAGAAAGAAGGAAATGTTGGTAAATGTGTCTAATGAGAAAATCAAGAAACTTGATCTAAAGATCAGTAGTAGTCCACATTAGTTCTAACACTGTACAACTGATTTTCGAGGACAATACAACCCAAAGGGATAATCATTCCTAGTACAACCGACTAGGATCACATTAAAGTGGCAAATATCGACTACGTAACAAACATGACGTTGAGCATGACACACAGAAGATGACAGAGTACAGTTTATCAGTTACATTTACATGAGAGCGATTTTTTGTTAACCGCAGATTCTTCAGATGGATGCCACGCTAATAAGACGAAGAATCTTCAAAATGATCATGAATAACTGGCTTCTAATAGAATTGTTCTTAGCTTCGTGACCAAGCAAAACTACTTCACTTTTCTCATCATGCACCTTCTATCACCCAAGATATCTGCCTTACGTAGTTGGCAAGGCAGAAAGTATTGATTTGCTTTTATTAACCTCCATTATTCGTGGAGTCAAGGAAATATTCAAATGCTCATTGTGGTAGTTGGTGGTGAGAATTTCCTATTCAAGTCATATTTGCATTCACAAAGGTTGTTTATTGTTTAAAAAAATATCTGTAAACATCCAAATAATATAGCGCGACCACTAGTCAGTATCATCGGCGAGCATTTGTCCTCACATTCTACAAGCCATTAATCTGATGCCCACTAGCGACTGGCCCTTTTCAGGTAGGTAGTTACCTGAGTGGTTTCTAGGGTGAAGTCGTGACCACTGGGGTAGAGCGGGTCGGGTGTGAGGACAGATACTAGCCGATGGACATTGGCTAGTGGTCACATTATATCGTGAATTGGCAGAAGTTGGAATTCACGGGCCATTGTGTCGGGTCCCAGTGATGTAATGGTCTACGAGCTCGCCCTGTAACCTGAAGGTCCTGGGCCCGAATCCCGGTAGATTTGTCCCAAACTAAGACGAAACAGCTGCCCAGTACTTCCAAGTTTTCCAATGGTTCTCTAACCGACGTCAGCTCATGACGAAATCCTGTAACCAATCAAATAAAATCCCTGCAAACGGACAACTGAACATCCAAATAATACACAATAATCCACACAAACTAATATTAGGGTTTTACGGCTGTTTTACTTGATGAAGCGGATATCGAGGAGCGTCAGCCACGTAAATATCTGCACCTGCTTTGATAAGGATTTTGACCATTTGCAAATATCCCAATTCAACTGCCAGATTAAGAGGACAAACACCATCGATGACCATGCTTGGATCCACACCATTTGGATAACTGAAAAGATACTGCAGTGTTCCAACATTATTGCTTCTTATAGCTCCACGTAAAAGCCATGGGATCTGAGATTTGCTTATACGAGGCTTATGGCGCTTCTTAGAGTATCTGGCGCCCATTAAAACTGTAATGCAGAAGGTAAAGAAATCGATAGTAGTCAGTTGGAGAAATAACAGAATGAATACAATTACATTTTTCTAAATGTGTAAATGATATATATACAGAAACTAGTGATATAGACGGTGTCAAAAGCATAAATTCTTTGCGAATTTTCGCTGACAGTTTACAAGCGAATACACGGTGATAGAACAGAATGGAATAATGAATTTGAATAAAACTATTTTACAAAACCAACGCAGAATCACGAAGACCTATCTGGATAGTCCTGTTGCGTGCCGGTATTTCACCTCTTTAATAATCTTGTTCTTAAAGTATATTTTCATTTACTTCATGTTTAGTACGTTTGCCACTACGCACCAGTAAATTATACTCTATACAATTTGCAACCACGGGCTTGGATATTATGACTTACGCGAATGAGGAAACGTCTTTATCTCAGTCTCAAGAACTGAATATTGAAATTTATTGACTAACCAGTGTTCTTTTTTTCAAAAATGGTATAGTTATGAGTCAACTCCAGCAATAGGATCACCGTAAACCTAAGAGCAATGAACATAAGCTACGTTTCGTGGGCCATAGAAATTTACACCGATGACTACTCAATCTGATGGTCACGTTCGATTAACGTTAAGATAAGGTATGTGCGTTGTTGAAGATGCATCGAAACTGTAGTTTACTACGTTTTTGCTTCAGAGGTATTATAACTGTGACCACTTTTTGATGCCCTCTGCCATGAAATCAGCTCAGTTCATGTAAACCTAACGTATTTTCCTGTTAATCTAATATTGTTGCCCAGGTTAGAGAAAAACTCAGCTGCAGTAATCCAAAACGACATCAGCGTTTAAGTTTGTAATAAGGCCTATTTTACCGAATAAAGTTAGTTAAACTATGTCTTTCCCGAAGCGATTAGTTAGTAGAGCACCAGAATTTACACCAAGCGGTACGTAAACAAGCTACTGACTTGTTAATAAGAATTAAATTAGCCGGGACGAATATTTCTGTACCAGACAGAGCTATACTTATTGATTATGTGATAACTGATAATACTATTGAGTTTCCCAGGCTGTAGAAAGCAAAGCGGCATTTCAGAAAGTCAAATGCTGATGTAACGAGTCACATCCCATGTTGGGGGTGAAATTAAACGCAAGGGATTCATAAATAACTGCTAGAATATATTCTACTTTTACATGGATATCTTCAATATGGCGTTTTGAAGCCGGCAACATCACAGGTACAGTTACACAGACCAATAACTTAGGCTTACACGAATACTCGACTGAAACCATGGCGTTAATAAGTTTCATTATAAGAATTTCGAAGAATGTAGGGTAACGGAAGCTAATGAATTTCGAGTCTTCCAATCATTCCACTATAAAAGATTTAATGTCGAAGAATGCTAAGCTCATAAGAAATTAGTGTCAATATGCTACAGTATCTCCAGTATCCAAAATCCTGATTACGAGCTAGTATAAACCAGTGATTTCTTTGAGCTCGCTTCTTGATTGTAAGGTAGAGGTTCCAGATCTTCGGTGAACTTATGCGTAGTAAGTCCCGCCACTCGACTGCCTTAGCTCTGGTAGACTCCAAGAGGAGTGGTGCGGGGATTGGTCAAAATGTGGTTTGTAGTATGCAGTATGTTAGGACTGTTGCTGCCGTGAATGGAGTTTGACCTAACTCGAGTTAAGGTTCCCGTTGGTCATTCGGTGTAGTCATAAAAGCAGAATAGTAATAATAATAATAGGTTGTAGTGTAGATTATATAGGTTGAGATAAGTGAAATAATAAAGGTGACCTAAGGAAAAGATAGAGTAGTCGGTACAGTGAGAGAAGACAGAACGGGTCGTGTATGCTTATTCATTGACAGTGTGGTTTTAAATGTTAAGAGGATAAGCTATGGAGACACAAACCTCGCATTTCTGCATGATTGTCCAGCTTCCGCTTAAAAGTCTCCACAGATGGCGCTGTAGTCACGGGCGCCGGTAAAGAGAGACGGCAAACTCGAAGCGAAAACAAATGTGAACGCACTCGAGTCTTTGATCTCTTGTGTGCTATCCTTAGCGGGTTACCTCGTGGAAGCCTATAACCACTTATGGCAGGACGCTTTTATTAGGGTGGGCCTGGTCATTAAAGATCTTATGGACGGTGATGAGGTCTCCCCTGTGACTACGGTAACTAAGTGTGAAAAGACTTAATTTCTTCAGTCTTTCCTCATATGATTTGTTGCGGAGGCCGATCAACCATTTTGTCGCTCGTCTCTGGACACTTTCTAGAATGTTAGCATCCCTTTTGAGTAGCGGGGGAGCAATGATATTATGCACCTCAAGGAGTGGCCTCACGTATGTCGTATACAACCTTAAGAATAGTTCGGGAGTAAGAGCTCCCAGCCGCCTATGCATAAAGTGTAAAGTTGCATAGGCCTTAGCGACGTCCCCCGTGTAATTTCCACTGGTGTCCAGCTTTTCTGTCAGAATAAGACCTAGATCGCACTCTGATGGCACACAACTCAAGTTCTGGCCACCAAGGGTGTAATTTACACTCTGTGACCTGCCGGAATAACGTTGCACTTCTATAGGTTGAAAGGCATTCCGTTAGCCAGAGCCCAGTCTCCCAGAGTTTGCAAGTCAGTCTGCAATCTGTCGGAGTCTTCCGATGAGTTTATTGCTCTCCAAATGGATTTCTCAGAACAGTCGTGCAGTAGAAACGAGAAGAATTTGTAGAAACGCAAGCAAAAGACGCATTTGTTCCAAGATGGTAGGATGTTGGTTGCCAGTCTATATGTAATCCGAAGGAATACGTGGATGCTTCTCTCAAGTCTCAAAAATTAATACTACACAAACTGGAATATCTGAAAAGTGAGACAGTTGGATATTTCCACTCGGATTGCACTTTAGAGCACTAGTTCGATTACAAGTTTTCATGATAAACGACATGAAAGAGGCATATAAGAGTTAATAAAATATCCAAAACTACCCTTCGGACATTGTAACGCAAATTTCCAGATGCACCGCGCGTTATTTTCAATATCCAATATCGTTTCAACGAGTTAGCATTAACCAATTTGGTTTCTGTGTGCTCGCCTCTTGATTGTGAGGTATAGGTATCTGATCTTCGGTAAACGTCTGCGTAGCTCGTCCCACCACTCGACTGTCGTAGCTTTGCTTGACTCCAAAAGGAGTAGTGCTGGGGTTATTTATATGTGGTTTGTAGTATGAGGTGTGTTAAGACTATTACTACTGTGAATGGAGTTGATCCTTTCACCAGTTAGTCCTCCGGTATCGTCGTCAAAAGAAAACAGATAATAATAATTATAGATATAATTATTGAAGTTATTCAGACTAAAAGACAGAAAAAGAAATAAGAAAGCGTAACAACCGGCAGCTGAATTAATTTGAAGTTGATATGTATGTATATATATCGATAATAACGTAATAATTATAGTTTCACTTTTCAGTAGAGTAAGACGGGAAAGAATGTAAAGAAGTAAAACGACAAGTTTATTCTCTACCCCTGAATGGTGTACAGGATTTTAAGGGGATAGGCCATTTGGACGCAGTCCTTGTGTCTCTGCATGATTGTCCAGCCTTCGCTTAAAGGCATCTATAAACGGTGACATAGCTACATCTGCCGGTAAGGAATTCCAGGGACGGCAAACCCGCAGGGAAAAGAAGTGGGAGCGCACCCGGGTCCTTGCCCTCTGCTGAGCGATCCTTCTGAGATTTCTACGAGGGAGCCTATACCTACTCAATGGCAGAACACCTTTGTTTGGGTGATTCCGGCCATTTGTTATCTTGTAGGCAGTAATCATGTCCCCCCTAAGCTGACGGTTGCTCAGTGTGAATAGGCCTAATTTCTTCAGGCTTTCATCATACGGCTAATTTTGGAGACCCACCACTCCTTTAGTCGCCTGTCTTCGGACTTCTTCCAAGAGGTTGGCGTCTCTTCTAAGCGGTGGTGGTGCAATAATATTATCCACTTCAAGTTGTGGTCTGAATTATTTTTTGTACAACCTTAGAAATAGCTCAAGAGTGAGTGCACCTTACTGTCTATGTTTGAAGTGTATGACCGCATATGCCCTCGCAACATCCCCCGTGTAATTTACGCTTGTGTCCATTTTTCCGTTAGAACTAGACTAAAGTCGCGTTCCGACGTTGTGCAGGACAAGCTTTCATTGCACGGGGTGTTACTTGCATTCTGAAGTCTACAGGTGCGTAACTTCACTACTTTGCACTTTTTCAGGTTGAAAGTCATGCCACTGGCCACCGCCCAGTCTTCCAGAAGGTTTAGATCTTCCTGTACCCTATCTGAGTCCTCCGAACACTTTATCGCCCTCCATATCTTTCCGTCTTCAGAGAATAGGAGAGTCGGGCAGCTCAGACGGCATGGTAGATCATTGATAAAAATCAAAAACATCAGCGGTCCTAGGATAGAACCCTGTGACACTCCTGATGACGAGCTGTGCCAAGATGATCAGACTCGACTGGGCCTAGTGCAAAATTGCCTTTCAGCTAGGTAGTACGGAAAAGCAAGACAAGCTTTCACTACTCTCAAGTCTGTGTGGATGTCAACAGCACTCAGCATCAAAAATAAGATCCGGATTTTCAACACTAATGTTAAGTCAGTCAGTGCTACTATACGGATCAGAGACTTGCACTGAGCGTCATAAAGAGCATCTCAAACAAACTACAGACCTTCATTAACAGTTGTCTTCGCTCAATACTCAAGATCAGATGGCCGGCCAGAAAAGATCAGCAACAGGGATCTCTGGGAGCGAACCAACCAGGAACCGATTGTGAAACAAATAGGCAGGAAGAAATGGAGATGGATTAGCCATACTCTGAGGAAACCATCAAGTGACATCACTAGACAAGCCATTGCTCGAGTGGAACCCGACCGAATTGGAAGCGGCGAGTTGGTCGTCAGTGCGAGGATGACATGAAGTAGGAGGTCGTGTGAAGAGGAGATGAAAGCATGTGGGCAGACTTGGAGCCAAGTGAAAACTCTAGCAGAGAACCGAACGCAATGGAGACGCGCGGCTGAAGCCCTATGTTCTTCTAGGAATTAAAGGGAATAATAATAGGTAGTCCTTTAACCATGACAGAGGTGGCTTACCTATACCTGCCTAGCTAATTTTGTGTAGGAGAATGTCATGGTGAGCAGTGTCAAATGCTTTATCAAAGTCTAGGAAGATCACATGGACTTTAACATTCATATCCCAGCATGATGTCCAATCGTCCCAAGCTGATAGCACGTTTGTTACACAGGATCTGCCTTTCCTGAGCGGCGTGTTCTTCCTGCTATCCGCAGACACGTGGTGTGGGGCTGTGCCAGGGCGACAAAGTGGACAGATTTACCAAAACCATGGGCATGGGTTATTTCGCGTAAACTCGTAGTATGATTTCGATACCCCTTTGTCGCAACGGCAGTGTACCCATCGTTCACAAAAATTGCATTCAAAAGCTCAGCCAGTTTTAGAAGCGATGACACTACACACCTGATATTCGTCTCCCTTCCTTGATGACGCTTTCTAGGTATTATGACTTTTTGAACGTTTCCTTTTAGGTTTGCTGAGTTCCACGCACTGGCTTTCAGTGAATGCAGGTGTAGTATCCTGTTCACCTGGTATTGCATGTGCTGTTTCAGTGCTAGA